AGCAGGATGTTGTCCGACTTAATATCTCGATGGATAACGCCCTTGGAATGCAAATGCTGCAGGCCGCTCAGAGTCTAATTAAAACATATTTAGCGTCTCCTGGTCTTATCTTGACTTGAGATTGATTATATTGTACTCACCTCTCGACAAACAGCTGCGATCTGTCCCTCACTCATAATGTTGAAGGTAACCACGTCTGTCAGACTGCCACCTTCCATGTATTCCATCACAACCCAAAGATCCAGCCCATGTAAGAAGCTCTCTAAGAAGTTCACGATGTTCTTATGCTTGCTATCTTTCATGACCAATATCTCGTTGATAATCAAGTCCTTCTTGGGTTGCAAGTCTAGATTCATCTGCTTGATGGCAACACAGTTGTTGTGAGGGTGCTCATATGCTGTGTACACACCACCCGAAGCACCTTGGCCGATCTTGTTGAAATTGTAGTAGATCTGCGTAGGGTCGCCAGGATGGCAGATTGCCATCAAGCGTGCTCGAATATCCATGATGCTGCTCTGTCGTTGCTGGCGCTGTCTAGGTCTAGCAGCGGGGGGAGCGCGCGTGGTAGGTGACACCCCAGACGAAAGATCTGGTGCCGGAGCAGTGGTTGATGTGGAGATGGCCGGAGGCTGCTGTGCTTGCTGGCGTTGGGTGCGATTCCGTTCCAAGGTCTGCTGAGCTGCAGCCATGACCTGCTCCTGCTGCCGCTGGTATTGTGTAGGGGATGCGATGACATTGGGGACGTTGGGAATACTGGGGATGCTGGGGATGCTGGGTGCAGGGGTACCATTTCGGGAGCTAGAGGGACTGCGGTGGGGCGATGCTGGCAATGGCTCGGATTCTGGGATAGTCGGAGGGCCAAATGTAGAACCATAATTCTCCTGAGGAGCTCGCTGGGGGACTGCGTGCGAATTCGAGATTGGGGGTTGAGGAGGAGGGCGGGAAGGGATTATCCCGGTCGGCGGTTTCGGGGGAGCACGATGGGGCACCATACCACCCAGTGGGGGAGACATAACCGGCGTGCCTGCCGGAGGCCCGCGAGGAATTGGTGGAGGCGATCGTGGATTCTCGAAGCTACTTTCGTGATTTTGCGGGAATCGTGGACTTCCCGGTGGCGATGTTTGTTCTCTTGGGCTGGTGGCTTGCGCGGCTTGAGCAGCTTGCGCATTGTCGAACTTATGCCAGACTTCATCGTCGCTGTCGCCACGGGTGTTCTTTTCGTAGAATCGCATGATATCCATCATAGTCTGTGGGTGCTCCTCCTGCTCCTTCTTCGAGATACCGTTTTCCTGTAGTAATCGCTGCCATTCTTTGGGAAGACCAGTGAATTGGCCGGTCTGATTGTCGTAGCCGACGTGGGTGACATGTACCGGATTCTCTGGAGCTGAAATTTTCATATTGCGACCGGGGGTTCCAAGCATACTGTCCACGAATCTGGAAAAGCTGGCCTTTTTGCTCTGTCTCGTTCGGGGAGCGGCCGGGGGATTGCCATCGCCAGAGTACCGTTTAGGAGCGTTTGCAGGCCTTTCGGCCTCGCGATGAGCGAAGGGATCCATTCGTTGCGTTAAAGTGGTGAAGCTAGCTGACTGACGGAGTGAGTGGCGTCCGCGGGTATCGGGGCTGGTGTGGCTAGATCGTAGTTCGGGCTTTTGCTGGGAGTGAGGATCAGTCTCGGCGCTGTTCTCGTCCAATGCACTGAGCATGCCCCGCGTTTCGTAAGGGGCGTTCAATTCATCCGAGCTCTGCTCACTGTAGGAAAAGCGGTTGGAACTGCGGGTGCGAGAGCGAGAGGTGAAATTGGAGAAGAAGCCACTTGATTCGTCGTTGGAAGGCGATGGAGCGCCACTGTTCTGATCCAGAGATGACGAGGAAGAACCTGGGAACTGGGCGTTGGATCGCGATCGATTATGCTCGCGACTGCCGCTGGGAGAGGAACGTGGATAGACGGGAGCGGAGGGGGTGCGTTTCAGCGACGTGGTGCTCTGATGACTCCGAAGAATGCGCGAACCGAAGCTAGGGGGTTCCTTGTGAAGTTTGCTAGATGCTCGGCGGAATTTCAATGGGAAATTGTCCTGATTCATAGTGGGCAGATTTCTGTCTCTACACGAGACAGATTGAAATTGGGCCGAGGAGGGGTCAGATGCAGGAGTATTTTTTTTTGGACCAACCAGGTTCACTACCTGAGGGGATTTACGGCCGCGGAGAATAACCGGGTCCCCGAAGGTTTTAAAGGATAGAATGGAAGATTGGAAGGAAATATGGAGAAGAGAGGAGGTTTGATGGTTTAGCACGTGGAGACTTAGGAAAAGGAGTCGGGTGGCTGGGGGGGAGACGGTTTGACAGGTGGTTTAACGGGGTTTGTATATAGGGAATTATCATTCAATAACTTCATATTTTAAAATATCATAACAAGTGTATACTATATTATACAGTTCTAATCGAGTCAGAGACAAGTATAGAAATATACACATCATTTAGCCATGATATCCTAAGAATAGAACTAGTCTCAGATTATGTTCGATATCACACTTAAATGGCTTCTATACAAAGATCCACTATCTTTAAAAAAAAAAATACCCCTACCTAAATATACTAAAATACTATACACATACCTCTTTGCTCGTGTTCAAGATCATTTCCTAAATGCTAAAATCTAAAGCAAACAGACTAGAAACCTGTAACGCCGTTCAGGCCCCTTTTCGCCCCTGGCAGGTAGCCGAACAGATCCCAAAAAGGTTAAACCGCACAGGGTTGGACGGGCCAAGTGTGACGGAAGCAAGCCAACATCACTCGGCACATTGAAATCTTTAGGCATTGGGCTGTTAAAGCTTTTAGACCCTTGAGCCTTAGCAAAAAAAAAAATACAAAATACAAAATACACGCTATCTATGCCAGTCACGCATATCCCTAAATTACGGCCATTGTAACCGATATGCTGAGCGGGCTTCGGGGCTTTTTTCTTCCATATGCGCCACCGTTGGATTGTCGCCTTCAATATATCTCGGGGCCGTTTGTTACTCAACTCCGGAGCTGCAAACACTATGAAATTTGATACAGAGTCTGTTTACACTATTTCTACGATGCTTCTCCGTCTCTTCTCCGTTTCCTCGTTCATTTTGACTCGGATCGGTAGATAGCACTTCTATTACATAGGGCTTGGGCGTTTACACCGGATATTGGGTTCAAATATTACCAAGCAGTAAGATCAAACGAGGCGTGGTCCGGGCTTAAAGGACTGTTTTCCACTGGCTATCTTCCATTCAAAGATTGAGAATTGTCTAGACATCCTCTTCACCTCTGTTGTCTCTGTTGGTCCAATCAAGTGGGACCGCTGAGGTTTGGCCCGAAACCGAACCGTGCAAATGGTGTCGGCAAATGTTGATCCCATGACTCCTATGGAGCTTTCTACATATGCATTAGCATATTTGGTAAGCCTCGATATCTACACTCTTTGGCGATACAACGATCTGGATTGTACGGAATAGTACTATTTGAGAAGACAACCTTGAGGGGCAAATCAGCCGGAAATCGGAGATTATAGTCGCCTGGATTATCAGGCACTCTAAATTAGGACATCGGGAAATCAAAATCCCAACATATCTAACTCCAAGACCACAGAAATGAGCCATTGTTTCTCAAATATGTCATTTAGACAACCTTGGGGATCTCAGCGCGTGGGACTTAGATCTTACTCAATCTGGCTCTTCCATATAGTAGAGTTTAGAAGCAAAGTGGATTTGTTGAAGCAGCTTCTTTTGAGCTTGAATTCAATACTAATGCCCATCCTTGAACAGCTTCAGGTAAATAGCTGTATAGCTATCGTTTCTTTCAAATCGCTCAGGCTAATTACCGAATTCCCTTCGTATTCGCGGTAAAGCCACGGCTGCCCAGGTAGCTTCCTAAATATCATTAGTCAAACCCCGAAGCATGACCTCGTCGCAAACTATCACTATCCATTTGCCCAAGAGGGAAGTGTCTTCATCCTTTACAACATTTTGCTGTTGCTCAGCACTTTTCACAGCCGTCGCTTCAATTGCCATCCATAACAACGAGTCTCACTGCTTGATCAAACCCTTCGTATAGTTTACCACCTTGATCCCGTTATCAAGGACGTTCCCATTGTCGCTAGCTTTAGTCAACCTTATGGTATTACCTTTTCACTTGATCAGAACTTGAACTCGGGAAATTCGGTTTTAGGGTTTGGTGCTGAAGTTCTTTCTTCAACTATCATTTTGAAATGGTCACGTATCAGCAATTCTTGAAGACCCGACGTGTCTTTGCAATTCCAGGTGATGGCATCTCTGATGTTATCTTATTTCCCACTGATAGTAATGTGTATGCTGGCTGTGGCGACAGCGTGAACGTGTGTTCTTGTTAAGATGTGTTTGGAGCGCATAAATACCTCGAATACTGTACTAGGGGAAACCTGAGGTGACTAGCAAAATACGGAACCGTAGAAGTCCTCCTAGCCTAGTAATCGGTTATAATGAGAGCAATCTTTGCAAAGCTTGGCGAATTTCTAGATTGCTCGCATAGCAACCACTTGTGCTCGTGTCGTGTGGGTGTTGCTCTTTTTTACCTCTTCTCTTTTCCCACACATATCTCCTCCGCCTTCTATCCACTGTTATATCGAACCGAATCTCCCCTGTCACCGATATGACCAAGCTAGGCAAATCATCTGCTTAGATTCCGTCCCTTCACAAGTGATAGCTCTTCTCTCGTCACATCTCCTCTTGGTTTCACGACTCGCTTTTATCTGGACTTCAACAATCATCTTAGCGACACCTAGCGCCACGACTTGTGTCTTTGAGCACTTCGTCTCTTCCAAAGTCTCTTGTTTGTCTTGTCACACGCCCCCCTGCTATTCAATTCTCTTATTTGTCCGCTTGTGCAGGCCTGCTGTTCTCACTGGTATGTTCGTTTCAACTCTAACATCTCTAAATCACACTTTTTGACTCTTGCATTTCTCAAGTTACTTTCCATTCTCAAAACACAGCATTATGGTGGGAAACACCACATTTCCTCCTGCTATTACTGCAGGTGAGGATGCCATAGTCAGCGATTTGTTGTCCCGAGTCTTATCCGGCGGCAAAATCTGCAAGGCAACGGAACTTGCTACATGCCTTCCTCGGTGGTTTAGCCATGTCAAAGAGAATAAGCCAACTTCTCCGGATATCCCAGAGCTACTAGCTCGTCTGCTATTTCCGTTTGGTACACCTGCTATCCTGGAACACATTGAGAGGCTCAAAATCCCCAATTCTTTGACCGATAGACAGAGCTGGATGGTAAAACTCCGGGTCCTCATGGATAACAAAGCACATGAAAGGCTGTTGCAAAAGTTGGAATCTTTGCCAGATCAACAGGTATTATTCACAGCTCTCTGTGAGCAAGACAAAGGTAAAGACCCTGTTGAATTCAAACCCCGGTAAACGATACTGACATCACGGAAACCTCGCAAAGATGGTATGGATGAATATCTTGTCGTTGACTCCAAGCGAACCCTACAATTTGACTATGACATGCGGGATGTGATGACTCGGGGCGACAAAGAAGCAATGAGAAAGCATACAGACGTCTTTTACATGACCGGCTCCGTTGCCTGGACCGTTCGATCTCCTTACTGGAATGTCGCCTTGGCCACCGACGATGAAGGTAATCGATTGCTCTCAGATGATGTTTTGGATAATGTCCTCCCCAAGTGGAGACAAATTCTCACCGGGGAGACTATTCCGACCCCGAAATACGGTGTTGTTGATTCTTTTCGCGCGTGGCTGGCTAGTGAGGAGAAAAAGGCTAGTGATCTCGGCAAAGATTGGCCAACCACCCCCGTCAAAACTGCTTCTTCGGCCAAGAAGTTCAAATTCGTAACCCCGGAGCCCTATTCTCGCCTTCGCCCAATGAATATGAGCCGTCTCTCTCCATTTGAATCAACCCCCAATGTCACCGACAGTGAGCAAACTGGATTACTCCGAGAGATACTCGCAGAAGTTAAAGAATTGAAGAACATAATCAGCCAAACTCTCGAAAGCAAGCAAGAGCTCAAGAGTACAGAAGGCCCAATGCATGGAACTTGGCCACAGAGTTACCCTTCCATTCCTCAAGGAATACAACCAACCTATTTCGCGCCACAACAGGATCAATTCATCAGTGCTCAATATGATCCCTCTCTATTTGAGCCGGATTTGCAACCCTGGGACTCACAGTACCAAGACTGGACTACCATGCTAGGCCCCGGGACTGGTTCGGCTCATCGTCTCTAAGCCTGCCCATAATCAAGAATAGTGTTGCATGCATCTGCGATTTGGTGGGAGCTCTTTGACCCAAATACCGAAATACCGATACAGTGGGCGCTGAGGGCGAAACTGTGTTCTATCTTGAGAGTTGATGGTTACCACTGTGTCCCAAAGTGTTATCTATCAGAAGGACGTGTTTGTTAGATTTTTCCAAATGTACTCAATTTTACTCTACTACCGCTTGTATGCAACATCTCGTATAAGGAATTTTTAGTATAGGTAGTATGTCTGAATACTATATCTGTACTCCGTAGAGGGGGATAATTGCTCTATATTATAGAACGACGGTCAACTAAGAATATATACATATTAATAAATCCCATGCTGATCCAGTTTAGACTTGTTGAACAAACATAAATTACAACCTTGGAATGGATGACAGTTTGTCTCGACACATTCATATGAGCACCTGGCGCAGTTTCCGGTTCACATTGGTAGTAATGCATGAGAATGCACCAAACCTCAATCTAGTTTATAAGACGGTAATGACGTTGATAGATATCATTAGTGCTTGCTATTGCCAGTTTGTTTCAGTGCAGAAGTTAGAAACTCGACTGGAGCATGGAAATGCGAGTAGCAAATAAGAAACGTTCCCCCATGTCAGTTGCTTGTTGTCATGACTGGTATATATATCCTTAGAAGAGCTCAGCCCTGTACCGGCAGTGCAATGTCGATTTATCAGGCTTTATTACAACAGCTCTCACAAGCCACCCCCTAATGGCGTCAGTCCCCAGATCATCAGCCCCTCCTCACTTTGTCCCCGATCCCCAATATAGCGGTAAAGTCCAATTGCTATAGACTGAGACTCAGCCCAGCTGAATCTCTTGGCACGAATAAGATTACTTGATAGGAACGCTATGACTGAGACTAGAGCTATTGTACCCAAATCAGGTATTGGGGCCCCAAGCGGGGTCCAAAGAGGCTCAATAAACACGTCTGATCTGGTCATGTATACGATGACATAGTATATCGGCTAATTTGTTTTTTTCCTTCGGCGAACCAGATCATTTCCTCCGGCTAAATCAAAGCAAACATCTCTCCCACTTTAGCATCTAATGTGATTCACCATATGGGGAACCAAGTTCTCGCCCCCGCTTTGAATGGAATTGAGGATCTGCACAAACCGTGATACTTAAATCCGCATGACAGTCTCCTTTCTTAGATTCTTTTAATACGAGATAATAGTTGCGCTAGTTGGTCGGATCTCACAGGCTTCCTAGATGATTGGCTTAATATCATCCGTAGTCCACATGGGCGCAGATCATCCACACGGCGTCAACAAGAATCAAGCCACGCAAGTTGGGGTGTGATCCACCATCTTCTTTGTCTGGAAATATCAAGAGCAGAGAAGATGGAATTAAAATTGCAAAATCAACTTGACCTCTTGAAGCCCTCGAATAGGATTCACTAGTGTCAAGGGTAGATGCTCTCTCCCTTGCTGGAGGGAATGTGGAACCAGCACACTTGCAGAGAACAACACATATTCTATTGAGTTCCCGGTGCCCAGACTGCTGCCGAGACTTTTATATTATAGGGTCATCAGCCTAGTTCATGTGGATATGCATAAGATCAAATGGAGTGGAGCCAAGCACAACATGTATTAAATGCGCCTTGCACAGTGAGAGACATCACAAAGATTGGTGTATAGATCTACAGAGAGATAATACCCTTTTTATGTAGAAAACACTTGTTATTGATTCCAGGATCCACAGGAGCAGGACTCCTTGGAGTTGTGTAATGAAGTCCATCCCTTTCGGCCCAGACTCTAGGTAGACCCGACTCACTACTGACATGCACCTTACATAGCCCAGAGACGATGTACAGGGGTTAATAGCCGATGATTGGATTGACTATTAATATGCGAAATGGTACATCGGGGCCCAACCTGGGGGAGCTGCGAATGGCGTAGACCGAATCAACATAAATTGGACGCAATTCCTCCTTTCCATGTTGATTTATATTCACAGTCCGATTTTCTATCCTTCCGTCCTCCCTTTTGTTTATACATCATGTTTAGTCTTATCCCGCTTCTGTTTACTGCCCTCGCCAGCGCATATCCCAACCGGGGCCCTTGCACAGGCAACTGCTGGGCTCATGACCCTTCCATGATCCAGCGTGTGTCTGATGGCAAATACTACCGCTTTTCGACGGGCAATGGTATTAGCACTCATAGCTCGCCTTCGGTGAAGGGTCCTTGGACGGACCTTGGCCCGGCGCTGCCAGATGGGTCTAAGATTACTATCGATGGCGTGGACCGCATGAATATCTGGGTAAGAGCGACCTGAAAACGCCCAAGAAATAATATCAAGTCTAATAGCTAACACGGTCCACCTGACAGGCCCCTGATTTGCACTATCAGAACGACCAGTACTATATGTACTACGTCCTGTCAAAAATTGGCACCCAGAACTCACAGATCGGTGTCGCAACATCCAAGAGCATGGAGCCCGGTAGCTGGATAGACCACGGCATAGTTGGCCTCCCTGCAAACGACAACTACAACCGTATCGATCCCGCCTGGATCAGCATCGGCGGCAAGAACTATATGAACTTTGGCTCCTTCTGGGGCGATATCTTCCAGGTCCAGATGGAGACTCCCTTGAAAGTCGGCAGCGCAACTCCCTACCAAATCTCCTGGAACGCTACGCTCAATCACCGCGAGGAGGGCTCGTACGAGTTCAAGCACGGCGATTACTACTACCTTCTCTATTCCGCTGGTATTGCTGGCAAATACACAAAAACATTCCCGGCTGAGGGTGCTGAGTACCACATTCGTGTTTGTCGATCCAAGACTGGTCTTGGTGATTTCGTATGCTCTCCAATCCTTTTTCATATATTCCCAAAAACACCTGTTTTAACATAATCTACAGGTTGACGCCGACGGAAAGTCCTGCAAGGAGACCGGCGGCACCATGCTCCTCTCCAGCCACGGACAGGTATTTGGACCCGGTGGCCCTGGTGTTGTCAATGACAAGGACCTCGGCGTGGTAATGTACTACCACTACTACCCACTTGACATCAAGCAGAGCACCACGGCCTCCGACAACGCGAACTACAGATACGCGTGGAACGTGCTTGGGTGGGAGAACGGCTGGCCTTTCGTCAAGGCCACTTAATGCACATAGTTATCGTGGCGGGTCCCCAAGGCCTATACATACATGTTTTCCTTTCTTCTCTTTTTTTTTCTCCTGTCAATGGTTGGACTCATACTTTTGGAGGTATTGCACTCGTTTACTCGATACCCATGCCATCCTGATCTCTGTCACGATGCGCTTCTTTTTGTGTCTGGCATGTCTTTAATATATAATATACTGGTCCTTACGTCCTCATTTGGGACAATCGACGGTTTAACTATCTGCAAGTGCTCGCTTCTATTCAAACACTATACTGTTATCGGGTAGCGCGATCTCGCAGTAATACAGGATTCAACACTCCATACATTCCACTCGTGGGTCGCGCCATGAACATCTCGCTGTTCCATTTGTCGTCTCACATACCCCAACTTCAAGATTGAGAGCGCCAATTACAACATACAAGCGAGCCTTGTTATCTATGTATGTCAGGACCGCCATTCTCCCCAATCATCTTGGCAAACGCATCGACATAGTATGTCTCCACCATGCCCGCAATCCAACTGGGAACACAACACGGAATGCTGCCGGACCCGCAAGCATAGTCAACCTCCCCAAAGAATCGTTCCAGGCATCTAGATTGTAGTTAGAGAGGCTTCCCTTTCGAATATTCGTAACGAGAGAGCTTTTCCAGCGTATAAGAAAAAAAGAAGCAGAGGAACTTCTCTACATGGACTGCAAGCAACTGGCTCTGGCTTGTAATGCCTAGGGCGAGGACGCCTGTAAATACCAGGCAGGAGTGACTGGATTACTTGTCGGCCCTTGGCAAACCGGAGTGCAAATGGTTGGGCTGAGAGTACGTTCAAATAGACGGCGATAATATTGACGCTGACTGGTGGTGTTTTGTCAGTTTGATTGGTGAGAAGTGAGCAATATACTGCCAGACAAGATCAAACGAAAGGATATGGGATTCCGGAAAAGTCAGTAAAGATATTGCCGGGAGATTTCTTTCCTCCATATAGTACTAACATCCATACATGTAGACCTCGGGATGTTTCGCCCAATACATAATCCAGAACCACAATATTGACGGGAGATTGTATATTAAATAGCCTACAAAACCCACTTGAAATTTACCGAAGATGGCCGTGAACAGGTCATTGTTTAATATGTGCTTTTTTTTAATATGCAATGATGTTTAGTTGTATCCGCAATCTCCCAAAATATAGTCAAGATACTCAAGATGTAGCCACAGTGACGTGCATCACCAATTGGCCACTTACCGCACTGTGGCCACGTGCAGAATTCAATTCTGGGAATATAAAATAGTTATGTATATAAACTATAAGTGATGAATTTATTCATTGGAGATGTACTGCAACTGGCTTCATTGGAATTGCATTGCAACACGTATCTGAATGAGAGTGAAGGAGAACCATTACAGCTACTACGGCTATTACAGCTATTATCACATCTCAAATTTACCTGAAAAGGTCCAAGATCAATTACCTCTCAATTACCTTTCAATTACTATCAATTCCAGAAAAGAAAAAACGTCAAAAAGTGCAAAGTGTAAGGACGGACTCGGAGAAAACTCCCCCGGAGACTCGAGCTGGCCTTTTCTGTACTCTCTGGATTGTCCGGGGTTCTCGACCTTTTTCCTCTCACCTCTCACCTCTCTTCTTCTCTCTCCCACCTCGCTTTCTCACTTTCTTTTCAGGTGGCTCCTCTCTTTGAGCCCCTGTATCTTTCTTTTGTGATTCTTTCTCGGTGCTTTGTCAGTCCAGATCACCATTGCATTTTCCTGAATTGCATCCTCGGCATTCTCCTGAACCAAAGAAAATCTATACATCCTACTCAATTGGAAAAGAGGAAGGATATCCTTTCACTTGTGAG